GAAAAGGGAATTGTCATGTTCTTGTATTCTTTTGAGTTCAAATTTCTCTCTATGGAAAATTGTGCTAAACAAATTGCTATGGTGAAAATGTTTTATCAAATGGGAATGAGCCACCCTACCTTGCAAGAATGTCAGGAGATTTTGTCCCTTGTTTCTGACACTAGTAGCTTGGATTGGCTTTTTACAATTATTTTACACAACACCAATATTTGGAGGCTGTCAAGGAAAGCTGTCAAGGTTTTCTTGACAGCCGAACAATATGGAAACCACACCTTTGTCAATGTCTGAGGCATCTGGATCACGGGAGGCAGGCAAGAAGTTGTCGTGGTGAAACTCTTCACATCTTTGATTATCTTCGTGTACCGCTGGGCAACTCATTGTTCCAAGGTATGAAGTGGATCCTTCTATCCTTGGTCTGAGACAGGGATTGCTTTAGCTAATTGATTTGTTCTAATTAATATTCTAGGCTACGGAGTTTGTCAGAATTGTAGCATTAACCCTTGGTTTCAGACAGAGTTATTGATTTAGCCAATGATGTACTTCTGGGGCTGTATAGGTAAGAAGTTGTGTGTTCCTTCGAATTTTGGCTGATTGGTTGATTTTTATGTTTCGATGGATCCCAAGAAGTTATAAGATTCACAAAGAGTTGGCATATCTTTAGAAGCCAACTTAACAAGTGGTGGGGGCGTTGAGAATATTGCTCTGCCTTTTGCTTTCTCCATTGATTACTGATGTCTGTTGGGTCAACTAAACCTAACCTTTATCTCTCCTTTTCATATCTTGGGTATGAACTCGTCGGATTTCTTTCCTTTTTTTTTTTTTTTTAGTGTTACTTTCTTTTTCAATGAATACATTGATCCCAAGTTGTCGTGTTAGCGGTTGTAAAGGTTTGAAGTCCTATTTGTTTTATTGTACAAATTTGTATTTTTTTATTTGAAAAATGCAAGGATGTTCATTCGTTGTATGCAAATCAAAATTGAAGACTGAAGTTTTCATTTATTAATAACAAAGTCTTGGTTCTAAGTTAATCTTATGTTAAAGGAATGTTCGATAACTGATATTGCCATCAACAATGTTTCTCTCTGTCCTCGATTGCTAAGAAGAAGTATGATTTAATTGAATTTTTTGTACTTTTATTAAATTCACATCAAGGAGTTCAAAGAATTTTATTCATATATTTATTTATTTTTTAATTTCACTCTACTCAAGAATTTTTTTAACTTTTATGAGAAAAAATTATTATTATTAAGTTATATAAATTGTTAGTGTCTATTTATTTATATGTTATCAGTTATGATACGGTAATAGATTTTGGTTAAAGATAATTACTTTAATATTGGGGATAATAAGATGAAATTTTATACAAAAAATGACAAGTGTGATTGGCATTTATTCGCTTCCCAAAGTTTTTTATTTTTAAAGTTAAAACAAAGACTATAGGGCAGAAATGGTTGGCACATAAATTAGATTAAAAATACATAAAGATAAACAAAAAAAAAATGATAATTATAGATACTAATTCATCTAAGTGAGCAAGGGCACTTATCTCAAGTTCTATAAATGGAAAACAAGTTCCATAGATGGAAAACAAAAGTTCGGACTAAATCCCACAAAATCAATTAAATTCGTATTTAGTTATGAAATACTAAATTGGTCGAAAAAAACTTGACCAAGTGATGATCTAGGGTTTTGACCGTACAAATAAACCCCACCTCCACCCAAATCTTGTCTACTTCCAGACACGCTTCCCCACTTTCACTGGAATCGGATTCCCTGGAAACAGCCAAAACAGTTACTAACGACACTCCCCTCACATAAAAAGGACCGCACACATACACACACGCACCCACACGCTTTCCGCTGCGTCCTCAACAGTTTCCTTTTCTCACTTGCGCAACTGTCAGCAATGTGTCTCCAAACTCTCAAACTCAACACTGTCCTAATCTCTCTCACTCTCTCCTAGATTCGGTTCTATTATTACATTAGTATTCCGCTTCTTAATCTTCCGTTTCACTGTTTAAAGCGTCGTCGGTTGCTGTTCCCGTGACCCCTGTGAAATCGAGTTTGGTCTGTCGGGGATTGGGGGAATAAGTAAATTTGGTGAATTTGGAGGGGATTATGGTCATGGCGGAGAATGAGGCTGGGGATGATCAGAAGGAAGTCAAGTCTCCCTGGAAGACTCCCGTGATCGACGGGGATAAGGCGGCTGATGCTTCTGTCATGGGGACTGAATCTTGGCCTGCGCTTGCTGACTCCCACAACCGCTCTAATACTCCGCCAGCTGCTTCTGATGCGCCTACTGCTATTCCAACAACTGGGCAGGTTAGTTTTCGCTTTTCTTTGTGAATTCTCATCATTATTGTATTGGGTCGTGTCCAAAGATTGTCAATTTAAAGTTTTAAATGAAGTATGAAGTTGTTTGGCGATATTATTATTGTCCAAGTATCTAAGGAAATTAAAGATGAATTTTTGTTTATGTCCAAAAAAAAAAAAAAGATGATGACTTTTTCTCATTACAATTGTTCATTGTTGTATTTGGTTCTCTTTGAAGATTTTCAATTTGTATTTTGGTGTTTTATACTCATTTGTCAGTTTATTTATTTAAAAATTTTAGCAAAATTGTTTATCTTAGTGTAACCTGTCTGCCTGTCTTTCTGTTCCTTTCATTCATCTCTGCTTTCTCTTGTGCAATTGTATATTTGCACGTTTATCATTGCTTTAGTTGGGAGTAATGCGAGTGCCAAGATTTATTTAGTTTTTGCGCATCCTCAGTGTATGTTAATTTAAGT